TGTCCTTGTAAATTGGATATCGTTCCCAGCCAATAAATACCTTCGCATTGGTCATGAATCTGTGGAACAAAGATGCGTTGCATTCTCCATAGAGTGTGCACACGCTATTGTTCTTGTTGCGTTTTATGTATGTTATTTCCAGATCATCTGTCTCTTCTATAAATTTGTTTTGTTCTCTCAGGCACTTATTTAACTGCTCTGCATCCAGTTCGCCTTCATATCCAATAATTTTAAATCGTGGTTTTCTCATTTTTGTTAACTGCACTTCATAGTCTTTTAATTTACTCTCGGCTTCCTTTTTTAAAATTTCCAAATCACTTCTGTTATGACATTTAATAATTACACTTCCATTGATTGTGTCTCGGGTGCCTCTGATAGCAACTTTTATTTCTGATGGGTTGATATTCTTTCTCATGTCGGTCTTAGTTTTAGCAGTATTTTGCTGTTTTTTAGGCTTTATAATTAGGCTAGGTATGTTCACATTTATTTAAGATTTCTTTTTATCTTGCTTGGTAATTTGACTGTATGTTAATATATTTGCTGATCTGGGTTCATTCAGTTTAATTTCCAATTCCTCTATTTGTTTTTTGAGCAGATAAATTATTTCTTCCTTGCTGACAATAATGTTAGATTTATCTTCAATTGTGTTCTTCAAAAGCGTGAAAGTGTCAAATTCTTTACATTTCTTGCAGTGGAATGACATAACTCGATCTTTGAGTTGCAGGACCTTCACCTCTGAGGATGTCAGGCCTGCACAAACTTTGCACAGAGCTACCCTACATCTATCGCATGCAAATAAATCCTTCAGCCTTTCCTCACAACCATTGCACTCCATTTCTTCAACTGGTAGCCAAAACCGCTGTAAGTGCGGTCCTGCCTATTGAAGTCAACAACGGGTACCAAAACAGCAGCAAACAAAAAAACGAGCCAAGATATACATCGACATTATACTATTATAAATAAAATAAATATAAAGTTATAGTTACATTCAAAATGGCTTGCATTCCTTGCTGGGATTCAGTGTATTAATAGTTATTTTTACATTAAGTGCGCAAAATGAGTTTTTTAATGGTACCTGAGCCTGAGAGTGTCAATTTTCACAGGTCAGGTCGAGTCGAGGCCAAAAATGTATTCGAAGACACAAAACTCAATACAAACTACAATCAACATTCTTTCCTACAAGCGTGCGCAAAGTAGTACTTTTCACGGAGTGCAGAAAAGTATAACCTTGAGCATGGAAATGAATGCGGAAAAGTACTACTTTGCGCACGCTCGTAGGAAAAATGTAATTTGTATATTGTATGCAACATTTTTATTTATGGGCCTCTTCGAATGAATTTTTGGCCTTGACCTCACCTATAAAAATTTTGCGCACTTGATACAAACATACTTACTTATCCATTATTACCCTGGATTCCAGCAAGAAATGCAAGCCATTTTGAATGTAACTATAACTTTATATGATATGATAATGAAATCATCTGGACAGTGCAGATGGTTTTTAGTGGGCACTGTATGGACAGTGCACATATAGATTTCAGTCGACACTGTCCAGACAGTGCTGATAGATTTTAGTCGGCACTGTCTGGTCAGTGCAGATAGTTTTTAGTCGGCACTGTCTGGACAGTGCAGTAGTCACTCCCTTTCCTTTTTGGAAATGTTTTTCTGATATTGCCCATAATTTCCAAAATTTCCTGAATATTCAGAATTTTTTCAAGTATTTCCTATAATTCCTAAAATTTCCTAAATAATTTATGGAATTTCCTGAATAATTTCCTAAATTTCCCGAATATTTACAGATTTTCTATGAAATTTTTGACATTTCTGAAAAAAATTGATAATTTTCAAAATTTTTGAGAGATTTTTCATTTTTCTCCAAAATTTCCAAACATCTTCACAATATTTACTGTATTTTTCTAGAAATAAACATTTTTTTGCTGAAATATGTACAGGGTGGCCCAAATTCGAGTCTCATCATTGGGATCTCGGTAACCGTAAGAGATACGGCGCCGGTTAAATTATGGTAAAGTTGCGCAATTTTATGACCAATAGAATGCCGTTTTGAAACTAGAAAGATTCCGAATACTTCCGGAGATATTCGGAAAAAACCGAAATTTTGTGAAATCGTTATTATTTTTTCCCGGGCTTATTTGAAAAGCAATTTTAAAATAAATGTCAATTCATCGTTGTCACTTTTCCATTGGAAAATAACAATATGGCAAATCTTGGAAATCAGCCTACAAAAACTCTGAATTTAAATTGAAAGACAGTCTCATACAATTCAAAGTTTTCCTGGAAAACTACTGAAGGAAAAAATTTGAAACTCTTTGCATGAAAAGAGAAAGGTTAGAGGTTCATTTTCCTAAAATTTAAAATATTTTCCAGTGAAAAATGAAAAATATCAACATGAAGAATCTTGGAAACCAGCTTACAAAAACTGAATTATTTAAAAATACAGTCTCACACATTTCAAAGTTTTCCCTGAAGACTGATAAAGGGAAAAATTTGAAACTTTTAACATGTAAAGAGAAAGGTTAGGAGCTCATTTTTTCAAAATTTATAAATTTTTCCAGTAGAAAAAAACAACATGAGAAATCTTGAAAATTAACTTAAAATAACTGAATTAAGTATTTAAAAAAAACAGTCTTACAAATTTCAGAGTTTTCCTGGAAAACCAATAGAGGCAAAATTTTCGAACTTTTTGCATGTGAACAGGAAAGTTAGGAGCTCATTTTCCCAAAATTTCAAATTTTTCCAGTGGACAATAACAACATGCAAAATATTGAAAATCAACTGAATTAATTGAGAATACAGTCTCACACATTTCACAATTTTTCTGGAAAATTAGTACAGACAGGGAAAAATTTGAAAGTTTCTGCATTTAATGAGGAAGGTTAGGAGCTCATTTTCCCAAAATTTTATATTTTTTCCAGTAGAAAATAACATGAAGCTTGACTTCTATAGTTTATGAGATGTGTTTATACATAGGTGCCTACCTACCTACTTACTTTCTTTATTTTGTTAGCAGTAAGGTATTTTTATTCACAAAACACTGAACAGGAACTAAACAATATTCGAAACACAAAAATTCTCAAAGATTTCTGGTGAAAATGTCTTAATTTCCTATAATAATTTCAGTAAATTTTCTATAATTTCGAAAAATTTCCCAATATTTCGAATAATTTCTTAACAGTTCCAGACATTTACCAAAATTTCCAAATATTTCTTATAATTTCCGAGAATTAACATAATTTGTGACAGGAATTTCTGTAATTTATCAACATTTCCGGAAATTATTTTGAGATTTGTACATCTATTTCCAACCCTGAGACACCTCTCGGATTGACAGTTTATCAGAAGGTGTATAAATTAACCCTTATTGGAGTGAAAAATTAAAATAGTAAAGAGAAAAAAACTACTCAACTACAACACCAACATTCTTGTTCTGAATCTAAATTATTCTGAAGAATTCAAAACTTGGCTTCAAGAGTTATGAGCCAATGAAATTTTTTAAGGAGTATTCACAGTTTCTGAGAATACTTCTCAAATTTGGACAGTATTTCCAAGTATTCCCCGGTATTTCCAAGTAAATTCAACTTGGTTAACTGACAACGAGGTAACTGGGGCATATGTCAGTTTTTGGCTTATTATTGAAAATTAAATTTCCCACGTATAAAAATTTGTTACAAGTGTGTCTCATTCATACCCAAGGTTCCTACAGTTAATAGGTTGTGTGGTAATGGGTAACTTGATGACACATTTGAGGTGCCTTATGGAGACTTGTATTATGTTCAGGTACCACAAAAAACATCATAAAGTTATCATCTTCTCTCAAACAACCTTGATTCATACCCTGCATGTAGTAGAAAGAACGAGACCGGAGTAGTTTCTGAGAAAAACATTGAAATTTGTTACTTTTACAAAGTGTATCATATCAACAAGTGACAGAAGTTTGGATTTCAATCAATGGTTAGTGAGTGAAAGATGTTGTGAAGGTAAGCCAGGTTTGTTCTTAGCTTAGAATTTCAAGAAATGGGAACACAGCTTGGGTTCCAGTTGCCCTGGTAAAAATACGTATGCCTAGAAGTATTTTTTACAGGCTCCCAAATGCGATTTTAAGAAAAATGTCTGAATTATCTTTAAAGATATACAAGGAAAGCAATTTCAACATTTTTTTCAAGCTTCGCATCAACTTGAAGAAGAGAGAGAAGAAATTTTAATTCATAAATCTGGGAAATTTGGAGTCAATGTGAGGCCTAGAAGTATTTTTTACATGCTCCCAAATGTAGATTTTCTGGTGGAATCTCAAGGAGCCGTTTGACATAGAATTGCCAAAAGACCTTTTCGATTTCTTTTTGCCCTTTTTAGGGAAAAAAATTTTGGTTCTTTTTTGTATGGAATCTTGGAAGTTTCACTTTCAAGGAGAAAATCATATGGGAAGTTTTTATCTACATTATTCACTCTTGTCCATTTGAAATACACATGAATTTGAGAACTCTGAAAATACTTATATGTATAGCAAATCATAGAATCTAAAGCTTCTTCTTGAAGACTTTTTTACTGAGCTGTACTTGAAAATCTCTAATCATTCGATCCACAATCAAAAAATAGGGTGTCACTCTGGATTCGAGAAATGAATAACGAAAAGCCAGCAAAATTTAGAAATATGAATTTTGGTCTCAAAAACTCTAAAATTTGTGTAGGTTATTATGGATTGCTTCAAATTTTCAAAAAAGTGTCTAGATTCTTGTAAAAAATGTTGAGTATAAAAAGTCTTAAGATTATTGTACAACCTGTGAAATTAATTATGGAAATCCACAAAAAAGGGTCTATTTTCTTATAGGAGATATAAAAGTTATTATGGAAACCATAAAAACTCTACAGTTTCTTGATTATTAGAAAAACTATAAAATTTAATGTCTCATAGAACTTCACTTTTCAAATTTCTATATTTATTTATGTTAAATTTACCAAAAACAAATATTTCTTTCTCCTCCCAGGTAAAATGGAAGAAGTAGAACTCCCAGAAAAAGTAGACATAATAGTATCAGAACCAATGGGCTACATGCTCTACAACGAACGCATGCTCGAATCCTACCTCAACGCCAAACGGTGGCTAGTTCCTGGCGGCAAAATGTTCCCTACGAGAGGCGACCTGCACGTGGCCCCTTTCACAGACGACGCTTTATACATGGAACAGTACAGCAAAGCAAACTTTTGGTTCCAGACTTGTTTTCACGGCGTTAATTTAGCTGCTTTACAAAACTGTGCTGTTAAAGAGTATTTTAGACAACCTATAGTTGATACTTTTGATGTGAGGATTTGTATGAGCAAAAGTGTGAGGCATGTGGTTGATTTTTTGGAGGCAGACGAAACCGATTTGCATACTATTAATGTACCTTTGGAGTTTCATATATTGGAGTCTGGCACTTGTCACGGGTTGGCTTTTTGGTTTGATGTTGCTTTTATTGGGTCACAACATACTATTTGGCTTAGCACTGCGCCTACAGAACCTTTAACACATTGGTAAGCAATAATAATTGTCACTATATTATCTATATTGAACAAAAAATTTGTTTTAAAAAGGTATCAAGTGAGATGTTTGCTTGAACAGCCTCTGTTGTTGAAAGAAGGGCAAGTTTTAACGGGTACGGTTTTGTTGGTTGCTAACAAGAGACAAAGTTATGACGTGACAATCGAGCTGACTGTTGAAGGCACATCGCAGACGTCTAGGAATACTTTGGACCTCAAAAATCCTTATTTTAGATATACTGGAGCTCCTGTACAACCACCACCAGGTAATTATTTGTATTTGTGTAGGATAACAAGTCTATTTGAAGCATTTGAAAATGATTATTTTGAGTTAATTTTAATATTCTATAGAAGGCTTCAAAATTATGTGTAGTTTGAGTCCAAAATTAACAGAATCTCTGGACTCTTTGTTTTATAATCTCAAAAAATCTTGTTAGTTTGTCGTTGTTTGAATTGCTTTGAATTTTTGGTACAACTTGCTCCAATGTCTTAAAAATAGTACCACAAAATCTCATATTTGTACCTTAAATAATTTTCAAGGAATTGCCCAATTTATACTAGGATGTCATATTTCACTTCTCAAAAATCATGTATTTTTCTTGCGAATCTTGTAACTTTGTCGTTCTTTATTGAATTGTTTTGAGGAAGTACCCAATTTATATGAGATTGCCATACAAAAATTATGTATTTTTTTGAAAAACTTGTAACTTTGTCGTTCTTTATTGAATTGCTTTGAATTTTTGGTACGACCTGCTTCAATGTCTTAAAAATAGTACCACAAAATCTCATATTTGTACATGAATAATTTTCAAGGAATTACCCAATTTATACAAGAATGTCATATTTCACGTTTCAAAAATCATTTATTTTTCTTGTAAATCTTGTAACTTTGTTGTTCTTTGTCCAACTGCTTTGAATTTTTAATATGTTCAGCTCCAATGTCTCAAAAATAGTACCACAAAATTTCATATTTGTATCTTGAATAGTTTTTGAGGAAGTACCCAATTTATATAAGATTATCATATAAAAATTATGTCTTTTTTTAAAAAGTTCTAACTCTGTCGTTCTTTATTGAATTGCTTTGAATTTTTGATACGACCTGCTCCAATGTCTTAAAAATAGTACTACAAAATCCCATATTTGTACCTTGAATAGTTTTCAAGGAATTACCCAATTTATGCAAGGATGTTATATTTCACTTTTCAAAAATCATTTATTTTTCCTATAAATCTTGTAACTTTGATGTTCTTTGTCCAACTGCTTTGAATTTTTAATATGTTCAGCTCCAATGTCTGAAAAATAGTACCACAAAATTTCATATTTGTATCTTGAATAGTTTTTGAGGAAGTACCCAATTTATAAGAAATTGACATACAAAAATTATGTACTTTTTTGAAAAACTTGTAACTTTGTTATTCCTTATTGAATTGCTTTGAAATTTTGGTACGACCTGCTCTAATGTCTTAAAAATAGTACCACAAAATCTTATATTTGTACCTTGAATAGTTTTCAAGGAATTACCCAATTTATACAAGGATGTCATATTCCATTTTTCACAAAATCATTTATTTTTCTTGTAAATCTTGTAACTTTGATGTTCTCTGTCCAACTGCCTTAAATTTTTAGGATGTTCATTGTCAATGTCTTAAAAATAGTACCACAAAATCTCATATTTGTAACTTGAATAGTTTTCAAGGAATTACCCAATTTATACAAGGATGTCATATTTCACTTTTCAAAAATCATTTATTTTTCTTGTAAATCTTGTAACTTTGTTGTTTTTTGCCCAACTGCTTTAAATTTTGAGTATGTTCAGTTTCAATGTATTAAAAATAGTACCATAAAATTTCATATTTGTATCTTGAATAGTTTTTGAGGAAGTACCCAATTTATACAAGATTGTCATACAAAAATTATATATTTTTTTGAAAAACTTGTAACTTTGTCGTTTATTATTGAATTTCTTTGAAATTTTGGTACGACCTGCTCCAATGTTTTAAATATAGTACCACAAAATTTCATACTTGTATCTTGCATAGTTTTTGAGGAAGTACTCAATTTATACAAAAATTATGTCTTTTTTAAAAAAAGTTATAACTCTGTCGTTCTTTATTGAATTGCTTTGAAATTTTGGTACGACCTGCTCCAATGTTTTAAAAATAGTATAACAAAATCCCATATTTGTACCTTGAATAGTTTTTGAGGAATTACCCAATTTATATAAGGATATCATATTTCACTTTTCAAAAATCATATATTTTTCTTGTAAATCTTGTTGCTTTGTCGTTTTTTGTCCAATTGCTTTGAATTTTTAGTATGTTCAGTTCCAATGTCTTAAAAATAATACCACGAAATTTCATATTTGTTTGTACCTTGAATAGTTTTGGAAGAACTACCCATTTCATACAAGATTGTCATACAAAAATTACGTATTTTTTTTTGAAAAACTTGTAACTTTGTCGGTCCTTGTTCAATCACTTTGAATTTTTAGTATGTCCTACTCCAATATCTCACAAATAGTAAGTACCACAAAATTTCCCATTTGTAATTTGAAGAGTTTTTGAGAAAATAGTGAAAATACTCCATTTATGTGACAATTTTCGAATTTTACTAATTTTCAATTTAAATTCAAGGTGTATCAAGTCAGTCGCCAAGTGAAAGCTACTGGAGCCAATTGGACGCCCAAGGAGTCCGAAACGCCGTCAACATGGTGAACGGAATGTCAGTAAACGGCCTGGGCGAAGTTGCAATGGACACCACCCAAACCCTAATCAACAATAACCTAATGGCTAATAATCTAATAGCTTTGGTGGATCCTTCCCAACACATGGTAGAAGCTGCCCAGCCCAATATTCATCCTGGTTGTATTCCTAGCACCGGACGAGGTAAGCTTCATTAAAAAAATCAAAATTTGAGGTGTTTTCTTGCATCTCAAATGTTTCAAAACTTCTTGGTCACAAGAATATACTGTTTCAAACCTGTTTTAAACCAGTTTCATAAAAGTGAACGGGAGAAAACAACAAAATTGTTTCTAGGACGAGTTGCAGCTAGTCCCACTTCCACTCATACAGCGCAGCTGATTGGCGGAGCAATTTCGCCATCACTTTTCACTTCTTCAGCAGGTGCTCATCCTCCTCAGCAGCACTTGGTGATGGCCAATTATCCGGTGGCTCAAAACATGATGATTGGAGATTACGTTAAGAGTGGCAACGGTGTAGTGTCGGCAGTATATAGACAGTAAATGTAGTTATAATCGAGTCGTCAAGTAGAAAAAGCATTAATGCTCAATAATGCGTTGGTACAGGTAAATATTTTACATACTTTTGATTTTTGACCCTTGGTTTGTGGTTGGATTCATAATCACAAATCAATGTTTTACTTTAAATAATTGAACATGTTAATTCAATTTATTTTTCAGGGGGCTTTTTACATAAGTACCTAATAATAATGAAGATTATCTTTATGAGACTTTTGCATTAAACCCAAATTCATGATGCCTTGATTTCAATGTCGTAGTTTTAAGTCCAAAATTCATGAATTAACATGGACAAAAACGTGGTAACCAAATACATACTTAGATCTGTTTTATTTAAATCAAAATATGGCAACTTTATACCTTTTTTTTTTCTTTTTTGGTTAAATTTAAGTATTCACTTTTTACTATAGAACAAATGGTAAATCAATTATTATAACTGTTTGTTTTTCCATTAGGTTTACTGTGTGATTTTAATTTTTAAGTCGGAAAAATGTACCATTGTATGTATTTTTGTGTTTTTGCATTTGTGGTAGATTTTAAAGTACGAATGAGTGTGTTTGTATTATCGATAATATGCGTATAAGCAGTGTCATTATGACCCCTTATTAATAACTGATTTTATTGAATCTGTATAAACTCGGCCTGCAAAATTCGAGAAACATTCAAGTTGTTTATATTTGAATGTTTCTAATAGTCACTATTTTAATTGACAGTAAATTGAAAACTGCAAACAGTAGGATGGTTTTAATAATTTCATTTTGTACTGTGTAAGTATTTGTATATTTTATTTTTTTTCAATGTAATTTATTTCTGTAGGGATCATCTTTTTAGCTAAATACATCAAGATAAGGCTAAAGCTAGAATGTCGAGTTTTTATTATGTTTTATCTGAAACCTTCAAGAATTTTATTTTTGTACCTTCAGTAGTTTTTGAGGTAAAAATTCCAAAATAGAGGTTTGTCAATTTAATCAATTTCCTTCACAATAATTTAATTGGCTTTAATTCAAACTTATGAGGCGAAATGTATATCAATGTCATTTTAAGAAAAATCGAATTTTCAAAAAATGATTTTGAGGTTCCACAGCTTCAAAACTTTAGGTGCGGCATTGAAAATATTCATTAGACATTTGTAGAGGATTTAATTGGCTATAATTCAAGCCTGATTACGTTAAGATCGGATTGAAATTAAGAAAGTTATGAGGCGAAATGGGTATCGATGTTATTTTTAGAAAAATATCTTCTTACTATAACGATGAAATTTCAAACTTTTTTTTGTCGAGATTTTGTATTCTAATGGTCAATTAACATACTCCAAACTCCATACACTAAATTATTCTCAGATTTGAAGCCGAAATCTATGAAAAAAGGCACTTAGAAAAATTGATAAATCACCCCAATTGCTTAACACGATTCTATCTCAGGAACTATAAGTGCAAATGAGCTGAAATTTTCAGGGATTGTAGTCCTTTGAAAGGGATAAAATTCAGTGAAAAATTCAGCTTTCTATCTATAATAGAAAAAAAGTTATGACCTTTCAAAGTTTTCCAAAAAAATCATAAGGGGGGTACAGGGTGATCTATTATAAATGTAACCCCCTGCTAACTTTTTCATTTGACGTTTTTGATAGAAGTGTCAAATACAAAAGTTTCAAGAAACTGTCAAAAGTTTTTAACTAAGTCAGTTTTAGGCATACAGGGTGCGTCAAAAAAGTGCAGCAGTGTGAAGTTATATTTTTTTAAATGGAACGCCCTGTATATTGTGCGCTTTTTTGTATCCTAATGGTCAATCAGAGAGAGTTTTTTTAGCTCAAATTTACAAGAGCCGGGAATAGGAATCAAATGAAATAAATTTCAACTCCATATAAAGATCAGTTTTCCAAGTTGCTCCACATCAACTCTTGAAGCATCCAGAAAAAGCTATTCGAGTTACATCCAGATTTTGCAGTGTGGATAATCTTTGAACAGTTATAGATATTTTTAAACGCAACTCAGATTTTAAAGATACATATTATCTACAAATTCCAAAAAAGGATCAATGATTTGCTTATGTTTCTTAGAGCTAGAGTTTTAGGATTTTTAGATCCAGAGTGAGTTTCTGTGATTGACTTTTTGAGTCATAATTTTCATTTGAAGCTATTAGAGAATTAATAAATCAATAAAAATTGTTCACATTTCCAGGAGAATAATGACAATTTTTTTAGAGGAATACAGAAAGATTTATTTCCTAAAAATTACACAAAGCAACTTCTGGGGAAGTCATTATGGGAAATCACAATAATAATAATAGTTGAAGCTCAAAACCACAAAAACCAATCACGAAGCACATTTAAAAGATACAAAATATTCCTTTTTCTACAATCTAATTGGTTGATTAACAATATAAGAGCAGACTTTTTCAATAATTGCTTCAATAAAATTTCATTTTTTTGTTTTAGTATAGGAATACATTTGTATTGCAAATTAGTTTTTGTACTTAATGTTTATTAACCACAATTCTATATTATGCATTTCACAGAGTACTCAATTAAAACAATATGGTAAGTATTAACATCTAATTATTATAAAAAATTGAGGTAGTTGTATCATAGTTCTTAAGCTATACTTTTGTCACATTATATTGTACTCTGATCGTGCCACAAATGAAACTAAAAAAATTCCACTGTCTAAAGATTATATCACCAAAAAGTTTTGCTCTCTCGCAGTTTTTAGCCTAAAGTTTTGTATATTTACAACCGTACCTACTTTGTCTTTTTAAATCACAGCCCTGAAAATTTTCACTTTTAATTTTTCCTCGTTCTCTCTATAGAAAAAAAAAACGCCATTCTTTTCTTTAAGAATTTTGAAACTATTAAACAGTAGAATTTTATCTATAATACGTAATTAATAAGACATAATTTAAAACTAAAAGGAGATGGTATTTTATTCTAGATTATGTATGTGATGTTGAGAAATGGAAAGACTGTGTCGAGTCTCTATGTGCTCAAGTATTCAACTCCTACTACGGTCAAGCCTTTTTTACCTGAAATCTATTGTGAGGCTGCTAGAATAAAGTAGTAGCGAACAGATAAAGATTTAGGGTATTCCCGAAGCCTTTTCATGGTTTTTCGAGCCGGATCTCGAAGTCTTTTCACTCTGGGCAAAAATAAGTTCTCCTTTAAGTTTTAAAGTCATCTTGAGAATTAACCTCTGTTATCAAAACAAGTTTTAAGAAGAAATGCCATGCAGGCCTGCACCTTGTTGAGACAATTCCGCTTTCACCCTCCTAGCAATATGAGACCTCGTATGCTTTCTCAAATGATCTTTGCGATAAAAGCCTAGAAAAATGTATGTAATAATTTTGTAACTTGCAAATCAAATCCTTACCTTTTCCACACTCAGTACACACATGCCGTTTTTCTCCAGAATGTATAACAAAATGCAACGTCAACTGCTCTTTTCTTTTAAAAGCCTTGAGGCAAACCGAACAAACAAAAGGCCTTTCAGGATTGTGACTTTGCTTGTGCCTGGTCAAGTGGTCTTTGCGCTTAAGGGCTGCTCCACAAATGTCGCAAACAAAACGTCTTTCCATGTTGTGGCCCATCAAATGTTGCTCGAGTAAGTCGCGTTCTGGCAAGGCCATGTGGCATTCTGGACAGCAATATAAAGTGGAACCGTCTAAGGCTGTTGATAAACGGATTTCACCTATAGAAAAAGATAATTTAGTATATTCAAAAAATATGACTGAAAAACTTACCAGGTCTGGGCTTGGGCTTCTTTTCCTTTTCCTGCTTTTTCTTTTTCTTCTTTTTAGTTACAATATTGTTGTGTAGATGGGCGGTATCGATGGTACTCAAAGTACCACTGTTTGTATTATTGTTAGTATTGATTGAACCTAAAAAGTCTTCATTTAATTTGATACTAAATTCATTGAAAAAAATTACCATTAATTTCGATAGTATTGTCCTTTTTGTTGAGAGTTTCAGCTGAATATTTTAGAAACTCGTGCAAACTCAATGGTAAAGTGCTGGCCGGCAATTGGGACAAATAATCTGCAACTGCATTAGTGGAAGTAGCTAAGTTTTGCCAAGGATTTAACACTGTTTGCGTTTGATGATTTTGTGGTAATTGAAGGTTTTGTATTGGAGGTTTATCTTGGTAATGATGATCTTTTTTCTGAAAAGAATTTGTAGGTATACAGGACCCAGAGTTTCTCAGGTGTTAGGTGTTTAATCAAAAATCGCTCAGACACGTCAATTTTTGTTTTTTGGGGGACACATTTTATTGGTATTTTCACCCCCTTCCTGTCAATCCCTAAGTAGGGGTAACAGGTACCTCCAAAATTTCAAGTGGAAAGAGGGGTCGAGTGATATGTCATTTGGTAGCTATTTTCATTAAGATTATATACCCGAAGTTTTAAGTTGCTACTATTTATCCTGCCGAAATGGCGGCATGTCAAATTTCTGTTATTTTCCACTAAATAAGTTTGAAATTTTAGCATGATGAACTCCTAACTTTATTCTTTTTTTTCTGAAAGTTTTACAATTTTCCCTTCAGTAGCTTTTCACAAAAAAATTAAAATGTAAGAAGGTGCATTTTTGCCTAATTTGGAATTTACAAGTTGATTTTTATTAATTTTCCATTCTGTTATTTTCCACTGAATAAATTTGAAATTTTAGTATGATAAACTCCTTACTTTCCTTTTTTTCTCCTCAAAGTTTCATAATGTTCCCTTCAGTAGTTTTCCAGAAAAAAATTGAAATGTAAGAGAGTGCATTTTTGCTTAATTTAGAATTGCAAGTAGATTTTCATTAATTTCCCATTTTGTTATTTTCCACTGGAAAAATTTGAAATTTTAGTATGATGAACTCTTGAATTTCCTCTTTTTCTCCTGAAAGTTTCATTATTTTCCCTTCAGTAGTTTTCCAAAAACAAATGAAAATGTAAGTGGATACCTCTATGCATTTTTGTGTAATTTACATTTTGCAAGTAGATTTTCATTAATTTCCCATTTTGTTATTTCTCACTGGAAAAAATTGAAATTTTAATATGATGAGCTCCTAACTTTCCTCTTTTTCTCCTGAAAGTTTCATAATTTTCCCTTCAGTAGTTTTCCAGAAAAAAATTGAAATGTGAGAGAGTGCATTTCTGCTTAATTTAGAATTGCAAGTAGATTTTTCATTAATTTCCCATTTTGTTATTTTCCACTGGAAAAATTTGAAATTTTAGTATGATGAACTCTTGAATTTCCTCCTTTTCTCCTGAAAGTTTCATTATTTTCCCTTCAGTAGTTTTCCAAAAACAAATGAAAATGTAAATGAATACCTCTATGTATTTTTGTGTAATTTACATTTTCATTAATTTCTCATTTGGTTATTTCTCACTGGAAGAAATTGAAATTTTAGTATGATGAGCTCCTAACTTTCCTCTTTTTCTCCTGAAAGTTTCACAATTTTCCCTTCAGTAGTTTTCCAAAAAAAAATTGAAATGTAAGAGAGTGCATTTCTGCTTAATTTAGAATTGCAAGTAGATTTTTCATTAATTTCCCATTTTGTTATTTTGAAATTTTAGTATGATGAACTCTTGAATTTCCTCTTTTTCTCCTGAAAGTTTCATTATTTTCCCTTCAGTAGTTTTCCAAAAACAAATGAAAATGTAAATGAATACCTTTATGTATTTTTGTGTAATTTACATTTTCATTAATTTCTCATTTGGTTATTTCTCACTGGAAGAAATTGAAATTTTAGTATGATGAGCTCCTAACTTTCCTCTTTTTTTCCTGAAAGTTTCACAATTTTCCCTTCAGTAGTTTTCCAGAAAAAAAATAAAATGCAAGAGGGTGCATTTTTGCTTAATTTAGAATTGCAAGTAGATTTTCATTAATTTCCCATTTTGTTATTTTTCATTGGAAAAGTTTGAAATTTTATTATGATGAGCTCCTAAGTTTCCTCTTTTTCTCCTGAAAGTTTTATTATTTTCCCTTCAGTAGTTTTCTAGAAAAAAATGAAAATGTAAGAGGATATATACCTCTATGCATTTTTGCGTAATTTACATTTTGCAAGTAGATTTTCATTAATTTCCCATTTTGTTATTTCTCACTGGAAAAGTTTAAAATTTTAGTATGATTAGTTTCTAACTTTTCTCTTTTTCTCCTGAAAGTTTCACAATTTTCCCTTCAGTAGTTTTCCAAAAAAAAATTGAAATGTAAGAGAGTGCATTTCTGCTTAATTTAGAATTGCAAGTAGATTTTCATTAATTTCTCATTTTGTTATTTTCTATTGAAAAAGTTTTTAGTATAATGAAATGAGCTCCTAACTTTCCTCTTTTTCTCCTGAAAGTTTCACAAATTTCCTTTCAGTAGTTTTCCAGAAAAAAAAATAAAATGTAAAAGGTTGATGCATTCTGCTTAATTTGGTTTTTTTAAATTATTCATTTTCAAGATTTTCTCATGTTGCCATTTTCCACCGAATCAATTTGAATCAACAACCAATTTCAAAATGACAAATCAAGTTGATTATGGATGACACGTCAAAAAAAAATTATTGTATACATGGTGTCAAAAATACCATGGGCCACCATTGGTAAAACTGTTTTTTTACAAATCATCCTCTGTATCTCAGAAACTAATGAGATTTGGCAACAACGAAAAAAACAATTGAAGGCGTATCGATATTTTAAAAATATAGTATAAAAAATTAAAATATCAATAAACGAAACTCTAGTATAGAGTGTGGTCAGTTCACTTGTGATTAAACATTTTTAATGTAGGAAACTTTAATTTCTCCTATCAAAGGTGTCTATTCTCGATATAGGGGAACAGCGTTCTCATAAAAACGAAAATGGTTCTGTCTTTGTCGCTGATATTTATATTTTCATGAAAGACTAACAAAAACAGAGCATTTGTTCTCCTTGTGTTCCTCGATTTCGAAAATAGACATCCAGGGAGTTTTTGGGAATCCCCGATTTAATGGTTGTATTTGCAATGTTGCCAAATTTATTATGTTTTTAAGATGCCATAATATAGGATAAATGCTTTTTTTCGATAATCTAAGCTGTATAGTTTTTACCTGTCACACTTATGCGTAGGTAACATTCTTTGGTAACAAGTAAAAACACACAGCATTTTTCCATTGATTTTTCCTAACTTTGACAAGCTAACAACAACCTAAAACTTCGGGGATATAATCTTAAAATGAAAATAGCTATCAAATGACGTATGTATTACTCAGCCCCCCTTTTCATTTGAAATTTTGGGAGTACCTGTCACCCCTACTTAGGGGTTAACAGGTATGGGGTGAAAATACCAATAAAATGTGTCTCCCAAAAAACAAAAATTGACGTGTTCAAGCGATTTTTAATTAATCACCTAACACTTAAAAAAACCTGGGTGGGAAGTTTTTCGTGCCCCACCCTGTATAGTTATACATTAAACAAAACTTTCAAAGATAATAACTTTTTTTCTATTAGAGATAGAAAGCTGAAATTTTTAGCGATTCTTATTCCAGTAGAGGACTACAATCCCTGAAAATTTCAACTAATTTGGACTCATAGTTCCTGAGATAAAATCGTGTTAAGCAATTTGGGGCGATTTATCAATTTTTCTGAGTGCCTTTTTTCATAGAATCCGGCTCCAAATCTCGGAATAATTTAGTGTATGGAGTTTGGGAAATCCCAAAGGACTATTAGGACACAAAATAGTTGTCCAGTTTTTGCGTTATCAGCCTTCAAAGTTGAAGAATTAGAAAGAAGGAAATGTTTAAGAAATCGTCATGTATCCAGATATCATGACTATAATTTATTTGCTGCCTTGTCAGCGGCAAGTTTTATATCAGATTTACCACAAACATATTCCCAAGCTATAATGGCAAATCAAGGATGGAAAGATGCAGTTGAAGAAGAGCTTAAAATTTTAAAAGAATGTCAAAGATGGGAACTATAGCTAACAGACATTTTCGCAAAGGAGGAGCAATTAGAAGATCCAACAGAGATTTTCATGTTTTTAGAATAATATGAACTATATGTTAGATCCAACTAAAATTCTAAATTCTTCAGGGCAAATCCTAGGGATATTTTTATTTTTTGCGAATAAGAAAGTTCATGACTGATTCTCAAGAATGAGAAGCAACTTGCCAACTCAACAAACATCTTTTGAGTTCAATAAATTTACCAGAAATTCTTGGAAATAAGAAATTGCTCCACAGAATTAACAGAAATTTTTGCGAAGAAGGAACAACTAGAAGATCCAACAGAAATTTTAATTTTTTGAGAATAACATGGAACTTCATGTTAGATCCAACTAAAATTCGAGAAATATTTTTATATTTTTTGAGAACTAGGAATTTCATATGACTGATTACCTTATTGTTATTTTCTCCATTACTTGGCGACCTCATAGCGAAAATACTATCAAAATTTTGCGGCTGTTCAAAATTCTGCCTTTTGGACATCGGACTGTAAATTGGCGAACCGAGGTAGTTGCCGCCGTTCGATTTACTGGAGGCGGCAAACAGTTGCTGATGTTGGGCAGTGGTCGCATGATGGTGTTGGGTAAAAGACGGAATACCATTCGCTGTATACCTAAATTGAATTATTATTAATTAATTACTAGAAATTAGGCTATTTTTTTCTTGCCTGTTTGTAAGTGTAAATGTATCTTCTGCTGGAGAATTAGGAAACGAATTACTGGGTGAAACATCTTGAGTCAATTTGGCTGCAAATTGATGTATCAATGGACTTCCGAATGGAGAAAAATTCATTTTTACATTATGATTCCTGCTCGAATAAAGTTTGATAATATAAAGGGGAATTTAATTGCAATAGTGTCTTACCATGCCTCGTGTAGCCGGCCATTCGACACGGTCAAGATTCAAGAAATCGTCCTCCCTTTATTGCGCAAGGGGAATGTAAATAGGGGTGAAAAATAATCCATAAACGCGATCCGGTTATTTGAATTTGCGCGCCAGGGTTTGTTCGAAACGTTGAGCGGCATCTATGAAGAAAGTTCCATTACATAAACTGTAGCATCTATGGTGACGTCATTATTTGTGTTATCCTTGCTTTGACGAGTGAAATAAAATTGAGATTTTGCAGATTTCTGTAATAATTACAATGTATTTCTTTTTCAGTTTCAACAATCAACGGTTTCAAATAAAGCACAATGTTTGGTTAATAAGACTGAATGCCCGTTTCCACCAACTATTGGAGTATTTATCGTTAAAGCTTCCCTAAAATAGTTGGTGGAAACGGTCATAGTAATCAAAATCATGCCAGGATTGTTAATTATTTTATTTATATTTATTCTTATTCTACATTTCTTCTATTAATTTCGCATGAAACTACACTTCTGTATCTGTTTTGTGAATTTGGGATAATACATTTTTAAAAGCAAATCTGTACCCATACAATAGTTTGCAACTATGTGGATAGATGTCGCTAGTTTTGTGAAGAGGGAATTTATTTCTTTTTCAAATAAAGAGCCCATGTTAATTGGCTATTTATTAATTATTCTGCAATAAAAATTATATTATTATTTTTTTTTTCTCTTGTTGGTTCGCTTTGCGCATGTCTGAATTTCAATCAAAGTAGGCCTTGTAATTGTAAATTCCGAACTGGCGGCCATCTTGTCGGCAATTGCATGCCACGTGTCGTTTTGCTCCTCGGTTTTTCGCAAAATTTCGTAGTTTTTCGGGCGATTTTAATGCGAAAAAGTATTTAAAAGTGCTCGTTATGGTGTTTTGACTCGACACTGGCCAATGAGAAACATTATGGGTTTCTGTTCGAAAAAACATCCTGCGTTAGTTGGACCCATAGAAAACGCAAGGTAGGCTTTTTTTGTGTACCTGTACCATTTCATTCAAAAATTCACAGATTTTGTAATCCTTATTTCAACCATCGGAGACATTGGAATTGATAACACCATTATATGGAACCTATTTAACACAAATTATAATATTTATCTACGTCAGTGAAATACAAAACTTGTGCTACGCACTTGTTGTGTGTAACTTCCACACGCCTACCTATCTTAAGTATACGCATGTTGTTTTAATTCAACTGTTGAGGCAAACTTGGCAACGTTGAGCATCTAAGCGTTGTTAAATTCAACAAAAGAGCAGCAGTCGATGCTTCATCATAAAGTGTTGTTTTTCCATCGGCGTTTTACGATGGCTACACCGTTGGAGCCACCAAGCAGTGTTGCCAACGAAAAATGTTTGGACTAGTGGGAAATCTACTAAATTTTTTCTACTCTTTTTTTTTTAAATTTTGAGCACTCTCTAATACCTATCTTTTTATTGTTTAATAGGTAAAATCTGTTTTTTTTTTAAAGATTAAAGTCAAACTGACATTATGTTGGCAATACAATGTAAAATTGTCAATGGTTTCAATTTTTTTTAGTAGAAAAGGCTTGTGTTGCCAACATAGTTACTAAATTTTTGACTTGGGGAATTATCTTTAAAAAAAAACAGACTTTAACTCTAAAAAATATGGATACAGTGATTTAATTGTAGACGTCTCTGTTAAGGCTGGTTCATACATATATATTTTTTCCGTTTCTTATGCATAAGCTTTTCTTTTTCCGTAAAATTTTAGGTATTTCATGCACCAAAAATTAAGAGTTTTTATCAGTCTTTAATAACGACACTGTTGACGTGTATGGGAAACTGCGAACGGTTTCAATAAGATTTCCTATGTTAATTGACATTATTGTTTGGTTTTATCAGGGTTTTATAAATATTATTTTCAACTCCAGGCACGTATTTCAAGACGTATTTGTTGTTTACTTTTAACGATTTCCTCTTTTTAGTTTTTGAGGTTAAGTCGAAAAATTTGGATGTTTTCATCTACTGCGCAGGCGCCGTCAATTTTATCCGTAAAAGATAAAAGTTAACTATCTTCAATAGAGAATAAAGAAAATGATACGGAAAAGTATGTGTATGAATACCTGAATATAAATACATGCAACTGCAACTTATGCATTACTATTACGGATATAGATAGTGACTAAGGGTCATATTCTCCGTAGTTCATAAAGCCTGGCTTAGTGGAAACGCTTGGCTTTTTGTGTGACAAAGCCGAGCTTTTCCACTAAGCCAGGCTTTATGAACTACGGAGAATATGGCCCTAAGTTACAGAAATGGAAATTTTTTTCATGTATGAACCAGTCTTAAGTTGTCAGCTGTTTGAACAGTCTACGTCAAGTCGAAAAATAACATGTTGTTACGTCACAACTGGTGATTTGACATGGGAAGAAGGGTGGATTTGTTAGACGCAAGCCTTATGAGGATAGGATAGGATTTAAGCGCACAGGGCAACAAAAAAATACCATTTTGTATCGACTGTGAAGAAAAACAAGGCCTACTTTGAAACGTCAATTTTTTGACGTTTGTTGTGTCATAAGCAGTGCTGCCATATGTTTTTTTCAAATCTTGAGACCGGAGGGATTGGATTATTTTGATAACGAGCCGGAATTATAGGAGTCTGAAGGCTCGGGGTTATTTTAATCACGAGCCCGGAGGGCCGAAATTAACCCAAAGGATCGGAGTTTTACGAGTCCGGAGGGCTGCTGGAGTTATACGAAGGGCCGGGGGGTTTTATAAACATTCGTGCGTATCACCAGACAAAAATCCTTGCCCTATAAGATTTGAAAAGACCCCGGTCCTACGGGCTCGTGATTCAAAATGACCCCGGCCCTTCGGGCTCGTAAGAAGATCCCGGCCTTTCAGGCTCGTGATTTAAAATGACCTCGGCTCTTCGGGCTCGTAATTAGAAAAACCCCGGAGCTACCAGCTCGTAATTTATAAAGACTCCGGCCCTTCGGGCTCGTAATTAATAGAACCCTTGCCGTACGGGCTTGTGATTGAATTGAAATAACTCTCATCCTACGAGTTTATATAAAACCAAGTAGACTTTGGAAACATGTATACAGGGTGTCCACTTAGTACGATATCGGACGATATCTCCTTACAGGGTGAGGCAAAAAAAAAAAAAATTACAAAGTTGTTTGATACTGTAATATGCATTGGTTAAAAATATTTTTGAATATACAGGGTGCTCCGTTTATTGGGTATGCGATAAAACTTTGTTACTTCAAATGGAACACCCTGTATGTGATTGCATATTTAGATCCTACGTAAAATTCTGAGCAGATTTCATGTAATATACCCTGTTTTGGAAATATTGACAGTTGAAAATTAACTTTTTGCAACTTTAACAGGCTGTAAAACCTAAACTATCATTTGACAGCAACTTTGAACTTAACCGGAGATTAAATTTAATTGAAATTTTTAATCATGGATTTAATTCAAAGTTGGTGTCAAATGATAGTTTATAAAAATCTAAGATAGGAATGTAAAATCGGGTTTCCTCTAAAATTAACCGTTTAGGTTTTACAGCCTGTCAAAGTTGCAAAAAGTCAATTTTCAACTGTTAATATTTCCAAAACAGATGAACTTAGGTATAGGGTATATTATATGAAATCTGCTCAGAATTTTACGTAGAATCCAAATATGCAATCACATACAGAGTGTTCCATTTAAAATAACAAAGTTCTGTCGCATACCCCATAAACGGAGCACCCTGTATATTCAAAAATATTTTCATCTAATACACATTAGAGTATCAAACAACTTTGTAATTATTTTTTTTTTCTTGCATCACCCTGTAACGAGATATCGTCCGATATTGCACTAAGTGGACTTCACACCCTGTATATTACAATGTCGGTATTATAGGGCGTCAAATTCAAATTTTGAAATTTCCCAGAGCCTACTTTCCTTGCGTTCTGTATTTTGCTCAAAGAGCAGAGCGTGCTGAGCGAAGCCGTAAACACGTGACCAGCGAGCGAACAGAGCAGTTGAACGCTGTATCCGAGTGCCCGAAATTTTGATAAACGAACGCAAATGAGACTGCACCGAGTACACTTTTTAAATTAACGAACGGCAAATTCAAGCTCGGAGAACTCAGATCAAAATACCGAACGCATGGTTTGTCGTTTGTCAATCAGTATTGCCAACTATCAAGAATTATACACACCATTGCCGACGTCATAACTAAATTGTCAGATGTTTAAACAGCCTACGTTAAGGCGAGAAATAACATGCTGCTACGTCACAACTGGTATTTTGGTAGGGGGGATTTGTTAGACACATGCCTTATGATGAGGATAGGTTATCCGGTAGTAGTAGTGTGTATCATCCTTGCCTGGCAACACCGCCATCTTTTGATCTCGAACCAAAACTTCGATCCCCATATACGAAAACATTTCCAATGTTAAAACATAAGCTTTGCATGAAATTGCACTTATTTTTTATCAGAATAAAACCAAATACATTTTTAAAAGAAAAATACTCAAAGTCCCTTTAGTAGTTTGTTGTTCGATGGCGCTAGTTTTAATTCAATATGTAAACAGATAAGTAAACAACGATAACCAAGATTCAAGTAGGCTTTGTAAATCCCCGTGCGGCCATTTTGTCAACAAGTAGCATCTACAAGGACCATGACGTCATCATTTGAAAACCGAAATCCTGGAAGTTAAATCTTCTTGGAAGCCCTTAACATAACAGCCTCAAAGAACTACGAGGGACTTTTTTTTTCATTTTTAAAATATTAGCTACAGCTACTAGCGACATTTATAACTATTAAACAAAACTGTTTATTTTCAGTTTCCATTGAATGACGTCACCAGCCATAACTAACCAGTTTTGAATTTTTTCAAAAAAATAAAACAATCAGTTTGCAATAAATAACACGGTTTTTGTTTTATTCCAGCCGATTGGACATTGAAACAATTAATACATATTGTACATGATGTTTGCCTTAAAAATAAAAACGGGAAAATAATTTAATTGTTGTTATTTAAATACTTAAAATTAAAAAGAAATTGGCTAATTTGTACAAAGACAATGCAACGACACCGATGATCAAAACTTGTCCTTTCTGGTACACATTGAAATACTACTTTTGAATTAGCAATAATTTTGGAAAATCTACAATAATTCTATTATTGTAGATTTTTTTTTTAATTCAATTATTTTGTCGAAGCTTCAAGGTAGGCAATGAGATCAGCACGTTCTTGAGGCTTTTTGAGTCCAGCAAATACCATTTTGGTACCAGGGATGTATTTCTTGGGGTTTTCTAGGTATTCGAATAAGGTTTCCTTACCCCATGTAATACCTATAAAAAAAAAAACATTTATAAACTAATTCCTTATATTGTTGAAACAATAAAATTACCTTTAGCTTTGTTAGCATCGGTATAAGCGAAACCTGCCGCTTGGCCAGTTTTCCTACCGAAAAGTCCGCTTAAGTTGGGGCCAACTTTGTGCTTACCGCCAGCTTCTACGGTATGGCATTGGGAACATCTTTGTACGAACAGTTTCTTGCCTTTTTCTACATCACCAGGCGGTACAGCTACACCCATGACGATTTATTTTTAAATATATAGAACTAGAATCAAAAATAATTATAGAGTACCAGTACCAAAGAATCATAGCTGGTCTGCGAGTGACGTCACCTGCAGACCTCGATAAATTGCTTGCGATTCAAGCAGTCTTATTATTAGGTTAAGTGGTACCACATGGTAGACAACCACGTGTTAAGGTCATTGTCAATGAAAAGTAGTACCGAGCTTATGAAACAAGGTCGTTTTGTGGTGATAATCATATGGGAATTTTTCTGTCTGTGATGATAAATTCCAAAGTGCACCCACCATTGTGACGTAATAATTTCCCAAAAATTTGAGAGTCGATGGATGACGTCAGGCACGTGGGTGGACCTTGATCTTAAAAGCGGGAATGGCTTTTTTTCAGGGAATTCCCTTATTAAATTACTAAAGAAAAATTGTCTCAGTAGAATAATTATTATTAAGCAAATTTAAAAATTAAAGTCACAGAACAATAGGTAATTTAGAAATTCCCTTGCCCAAGCATTACATAATATTACCCAAAAAGCCTTGAAAAATCAATAAATTGTTAACCAAAAAGCATATTTATAATAATTATTGCCCCAATTTCTAATTATTAATAAGACAATTATTATTAAATAATCAAAAAAAATTACTCACCTTATTATATCACAGAATTTAGTATTTCCTGCCTGCTGACCCTGACTGGACGCTGAGCTCAAAACAACTAAAATTAATTTTTGCAATCTCTCCCTATTTTTCAGCGTTAGTTTTGCACGGATTATGTTGCTATCTCTGTTTATTTTACCCGGGAATGAGATAGACAACAAGTATAATCAATAGAATGTTTTAACAGATAGAGCAGGGCTTATCGATACGATATATCGATATATTATACTGAATGTTGTTTTTACCTATGAATGTTTGAAAACTGCACTTGACCGCATTTATTTGCAAGCGCATATAGCGTGTGGTAAAGTTACTTTATAAAATAGGTAATTTGTAATAGAGTAGGTATACTGTAAAGTGTGGAATAAAGTTACTTTACCTACTTTACCACAGGGTAGGAATGAAAAGGAAAAATTGAGAAGTAGAGGAGAAACGTAGGAAAAATTGAAATCATGTTTTTTCTATTCCAGGCTCTTGATTTTTATTTGTTCTGACAAATTCAAAAGCTGGAAATAAACAAAAATTGAGAAAAGAAATCTTGAATTTTCTCTATTTAAAAGAAAAAAAATTCAAGAGCCATAATCAACCTGCTTCCCTGTTAGTATGAATCTAATCCCATGTACAGTTTTTGAATAATTGTCATCTGATTATATAATTTTGTATATTTTCGTATTAATCTGTATTCGTTGGTTTTCAACTGAAAAAATTGAAAAATTCCTTTTATTCAAATAGTCAATATTGTCACAACCCCTATACGTTTCGTCCTGGGACGTCACAACAGGAGCGTGACTTGAGGGGGCGTAGGTGGGGTTCAGGTGTAGAGAGAAACTCGCTTGGTATAGGTATAATAAGATGTATATTGATTAATAATAGTTATTACCCTAGAAATGGTATCATGACGTCTCTTCTACGGAGGGACGTACTACTTAAGGGCCACTCTGTATTAATTATGTACCCTCTGTACACTTGGCGTGACTGAAGACTAAAACTAGGTTTCAGACAGGTCCAGAAGGGCGTTTCCCATTGAAGGTAATTTGCACTGGACCTAGTCTGCTGCGTTCAATACTCCCAGAGGGGCGTTTCCCATTAAAGGTAGTTTGCACTGGGACGAGACTTAGCTAGAAGGGCTTTTCCCATTAGAGGTAGTTCGCAATAGCCTTAGTCTACCAGTAATGGATTTCGGCGCTGTATTTATACCAAATAAATGCCGACTCGTCGACACACTTTAGTAAAAATGATGTACAGAGTGGTATTTACTTAAGTAGTTGACAATATAATCATTAAAAAAACGATTCAATTCAATATTATCCAATAATCTTTAATCAATACAATAAATAACAAAAACATCATTAAAAAAAAAAAAAAACATATTACTCATAGAGAATTATCAAAATACAACAAGTACTTATAAAACAAGAATAGCACAACAAAGAAAAGTCAAAATTATATTCAATTTTTGGATTATAATTAGCGAATTCTAGTACTAATCTGATCAATCAAGGCATCTACCCTATCGCTGGTACCCTTAAAAGTTTTAGGATCGGGCCCGATCATCTGAATCAGCTGCGGTACTTCTTGCTTGGAAATTTCAGCAAAACGCGCCAGCGATTTCATACATCTAAAAAGCTGCTCCTCCGACGGTTTCTGATTGAAATATTGCAAAAGGGCCATCGTTATTTCGACTGCTATATCATCGAAAACCTTGAAGAAAAAAAATAAATTAATATACACACAATATGTTAATAATGTTATTTGTATCTAAACAAAAATCCAGAAGTACATAATAAATACAGACCACAGTTTTTACCTCCTTAGAGGCCAAATTGTAAATAATAGCGGCCCCTCTGTCTTGCAAAGTTGCATTGTCAGAGAGCAAACAATGCACTGCAACTTTTGTCGTTACTCGTATATTGCTGATTTGTTGATTGTTGAAAGACCACTCGGATATGTAGAGGAGCCACTCGGAAGAGCTCAGATTGTCAAACATATTTGCCACCTAAAATGAATTTTGTATGACACTTTATACATAAGTGACCTTATTACTTACAAATAATGAAAGAGCTTCTTGTTCTTCCTTGCTCAATCTATCGATTTCGAAAGCATAATTCATTATAACATGATCCTTTCTGTCTGAATGTAAAACTAAAATAAGGTCGTCTTTAAGGGCAGCTGCGGCAAGTAAATTTAATATTTTCACTCTGGCTTCTACTGGTAATTGTTTGTCGTTCAATAATCGATCTATAATTATTTCAATTAAATTAGTTTTTATTCATTGAAGGCTTCTTACTGATGTAATCTAGGAATCCGTCACTCAATGCCCAACTTCCTTCGCCGCCTATCATGTACTGTTGAAGCTCTTCAGTTGATTTTTGTTCTTCGGGGTTTAGTTTGCCGTCTATTATTGAGACTAAGCCATCGAATTCTTCTTTTACCTTGAATTATTGGTATATTGATTAGCTTTAATTTAAAATTGCTGTGTAAAATGTAAGCATCAAAGCAGGATAGAGAATTTCACTATTTTTCTGGAAAACTGATAGGAAATATGTTTTGAAACTTTTTGTATGAAAAGAAGCAAGTTAGTACCTCATTTTCTCAAAATTTCAAATTTTTTCAGTGAAACAATTTTGGAAATCAACTTACAAAGACTGAAATAATTGTTAATATAGTCTCATACAATTCAAAGTTTTCCTGGAAAACTAATTAAGGGAAAATTTTGAAACTTTTTACATGTAAAGAGGAAGGCCAGAGGCTCATTTTTCTAAAATTTCAAATGTTTCCAGTGGAAAATAAGAACATAAAGAATCTTGGAAATGAACACATTTCAAAGTTTTCCTGAAAAACTAATGAAGGGCAAATTTTGAAACTTTTTGTATGTGAAGAGGAGGGTAGACGCTTATTTTCCCAAAATTTCAAATTTTTCCATTAGGAAATAACAACATGAGAAATCTTGGAAATCAACGTATAATAACTGAATTAATTGAAAATACCACCTCACACTTTTCAAAGTTTTCTTGGAAAACTAGATAAGGGAAAATTTTAAAACTTTTTGTATGTGAAGGGGAAGGGTAGAGGCTTATTTTCCCAAAATTTCAAATTTTTCCATTAGGAAATGACAACATGAGGAATCTTGGAAATCAACCTATAATAACTAAATTAATTAAAAATACAGTCTCACACATTTCAAAGTTTTCCTGGAAAACTAGTGAAGGACAAATTATGAAACTTTTTGTATGTGAAGAGGAAGGGTAGAGGCTTAATTATTTTCCCAAAATTTCAAGTTTTTCCATTAGGAAATAACAACATGAGAAATCTTGGAAATCAACCTATAATAAATGAATTAATTGAAAATACAGTCTCACACTTTTCAAAGTTTTCCTGAAAAAACTAATGAAGGGAAAATTTTGAAACTTTTTGTATGTGAAGAGGAAGGGTAGAGGCTTATTTTCCCAAAATTTCAAATTTTTCCATTAGGAAATAACAGCATGAGGAATCTTGAAAATAAACCTATAATAACTGAATTAATTGAAAATGCAGTCTCTCACATTTCAAAGTTTTTCTGGAAAACTGAACAAGGGAAAATTTTGAAACTTTTTGCATGTAGAAAGGAACGTTAGGAGCCCATTTTCCCAAAATTTCAATTTTTTCCAGTGAAAAATAACATGAGGAATCTTGGAAATCAACCTATAATAACTGAATTTATTGAAAATACAGTCTGAGACTTTTCAAAGTTTTCTTGGAAAACTAGTGAAGGGAAAATTTTGAAACTTTTTGTATGTGAAGAGGAAGGGTAGAGGCTTATTTTCCCAAAATTTCAAATTTTTCCATTAGGAAATAACAGCATGAGGAATCTTGAAAACAAACCTATAATAACTGAATTAATTGAAAATGCAGTCTCTCACATTTCAAAGTTTTTCTGGAAAAACTAAACAAGGGAAAATTTTGAAACTTTTTGCATGTAGAAAGGAACGTTAGGAGCCCATTTTCCCAAAATTTCAATTTTTTCCAGTGAAAAATAACATGAGGAATCTTGGAAATCAACCTATAATAACTGAATTTATTGAAAATACAGTCTGAGACTTTTCAAAGTTTTCTTGGAAAACTAGTGAAGGGAAAATTTTGAAACTTTTTGTATGTGAAGAGGAAGGGTAGAGGCTTATTTTCCCAAAATTTCAAATTTTTCCATTAGGAAATAACAGCATGAGGAATCTTGAAAATAAACCTATAATAACTGAATTAATTGAAAATGCAGTCTCTCACATTTCAAAGTTTTTCTGGAAAACTGAACAAGGGAAAATTTTGAAACTTTTTGCATGTAGAAAGGAACGTTAGGAGCCCATTTTCCCAAAATTTCAATTTTTTCCAGTGAAAAATAACATGAGGAATCTTGGAAATCAACCTATAATAACTGAATTTATTGAAAATACAGTCTGAGACTTTTCAAAGTTTTCTTGGAAAACTAGTGAAGGGAAAATTTTGAAACTTTTTTTATGTGAAGAGGAAGGGTAGAGGCTTATTTTCCCAAAATTTCAAATTTTTCCATTAGGAAATAACAGCATGAGGAATCTTGAAAATAAACCTATAATAACTGAATTAATTGAAAATGCAGTCTCTCACATTTCAAAGTTTTTCTGGAAAACTGAACAAGGGAAAATTTTGAAACTTTTTGCATGTAGAAAGGAACGTTAGGAGCCCATTTTCCCAAAATTTCAATTTTTTCCAGTGAAAAATAACATGAGGAATCTTGGAAATCAACCTATAATAACTGAATTTATTGAAAATACAGTCTGAGACTTTTCAAAGTTTTCTTGGAAAACTAGTGAAGGGAAAATTTTGAAACTTTTTGTATGTGAAGAGGAAGGGTAGAGGCTTATTTTCCCAAAATTTCAAATTTTTCCAATAGGAAATAACAGCATGAGGAATCTTGAAAATAAACCTATAATAACTGAATTAATTGAAAATGCAGTCTCTCACATTTCAAAGTTTTTCTGGAAAAACTGAACAAGGGAAAATTTTGAAACTTTTTGCAAGTAGAAAGGAACGTTAGGAGCCCATTTTCCCAAAATTTCAATTTTTTCCAGTGAAAAAATAACATGAGGAATCTTGGAAATCAACCTATAATAACTGAATTTATTGAAAATACAGTCTGAGACTTTTCAAAGTTTTCTTGGAAAACTAGTGAAGGGAAAATTTTGAAACTTTTTGTATGTGAAGAGGAAGGGTAGAGGCTTATTTTCCCAAAATTTCAAATTTTTCCATTAGGAAATAACAGCATGAGGAATCTTGAAAACAAACCTATAATAACTGAATTAATTGAAAATGCAGTCTCTCACATTTCAAAGTTTTTCTGGAAAAACTGAACAAGGGAAAATTTTGACACTTTTTGCAAGTAGAAAGGAACGTTAGGAGCCCATTTTCCCAAAATTTCAATTTTTTCCAGTGAAAAATAACATGAGGAATCTTGGAAATCAACCTATAATAACTGAATTTATTGAAAATACAGTCTGAGACTTTCAAAGTTTTCTTGGAAAACTAGTGAAGGGAAAATTTTGAAACTTTTTGTATGTGAAGAGGAAGGGTAGAGGCTTATTTTCCCAAAATTTCAAATTTTTCCATTAGGAAATAACAGCATGAGGAATCTTGAAAATAAACCTATAATAACTGAATTAATTGAAAATGCAGTCTCTCACATTTCAAAGTTTTTCTGGAAAAACTGAACAAGGGAAAATTTTGAAACTTTTTGCAAGTAGAAAGGAACGTTAGGAGCCCATTTTCCCAAAATTTCAATTTTTTCCAGTGAAAAATAACATGAGGAATCTTGAAATCAACCTATAATAACTGAATTTATTGAAAATACAGTCTGAGACTTTTCAAAGTTTTCTTGGAAAACTAGTGAAGGGAAAATTTTGAAACTTTTTTTATGTGAAGAGGAAGGGTAGAGGCTTATTTTCTCAAAATTTCAAATTTTTCCATTAGGAAATAACAGCATGAGGAATCTTGAAAATAAACCTATAATAACTGAATTAATTGAAAATGCAGTCTCTCACATTTCAAAGTTTTTCTGGAAAAACTGAACAAGGGAAAATTTTGAAACTTTTTGCAAGTAGAAAGGAACGTTAGGAGCCCATTTTCCCAAAATTTCAATTTTTTCCAGTGAAAAATAACATGAGGAATCTTGGAAATCAACCTATAATAACTGAATTTATTGAAAATACAGTCTGAGACTTTTCAAAGTTTTCTTGGAAAACTAGTGAAGGGAAAATTTTGAAACTTTTTGTATGTGAAGAGGAAGGGTAGAGGCTTATTTTCCCAAAATTTCAAATTTTTCCATTAGGAAATAACAGCATGAGGAATCTTGAAAATAAACCTATAATAACTGAATTAATTGAAAATGCAGTCTCTCACATTTCAAAGTTTTTCTGGAAAACTGAACAAGGGAAAATTTTGAAACTTTTTGCATGTAGAAAGGAACGTTAGGAGCCCATTTTCCCAAAATTTCAATTTTTTCCAGTGAAAAATAACATGAGGAATCTTGGAAATCAACCTATAATAACTGAATTTATTGAAAATACAGTCTGAGACTTTTCAAAGTTTTCTTGGAAAACTAGTGAAGGGAAAATTTTGAAACTTTTTGTATGTGAAGAGGAAGGGTAGAGGCTTATTTTCCCAAAATTTCAAATTTTTCCATTAGGAAATAACAGCATGAGGAATCTTGAAAATAAACCTATAATAACTGAATTAATTGAAAATGCAGTCTCTCACATTTCAAAGTTTTTCTGGACAAAACTGAACAAGGGAAAATTTTGAAACTTTTTGCAAGTAGAAAGGAACGTTAGGAGCCCATTTTCCCAAAATTTCAATTTTTTCCAGTGAAAAATAACATGAGGAATCTTGGAAATCAACCTATAATAACTGAATTTATTGAAAATACAGTCTGAGACTTTTCAAAGTTTTCTTGGAAAACTAGTGAAGGGAAAATTTTGAAACTTTTTGTATGTGAAGAGGAAGGGTAGAGGCTTATTTTCCCAAAATTTCAAATTTTTCCATTAGGAAATAACAGCATGAGGAATCTTGAAAATAAACCTATAATAACTGAATTAATTGAAAATGCAGTCTCTCACATTTCAAAGTTTTTCTGGAAAACTGAACAAGGGAAAATTTTGAAACTTTTTGCATGTAGAAAGGAACGTTAGGAGCCCATTTTCCCAAAATTTCAATTTTTTCCAGTGAAAAATAACATGAGGAATCTTGGAAATCAACCTATAATAACTGAATTTATTGAAAATACAGTCTGAGACTTTTCAAAGTTTTCTTGGAAAACTAGTGAAGGGAAAATTTTGAAACTTTTTTTATGTGAAGAGGAAGGGTAGAGGCTTATTTTCCCAAAATTTCAAATTTTTCCATTAGGAAATAACAGCATGAGGAATCTTGAAAATAAACCTATAATAACTGAATTAATTGAAAATGCAGTCTCTCACATTTCAAAGTTTTTCTGGAAAACTGAACAAGGGAAAATTTTGAAACTTTTTGCATGTAGAAAGGAACGTTAGGAGCCCATTTTCCCAAAATTTCAATTTTTTCCAGTGAAAAATAACATGAGGAATCTTGGAAATCAACCTATAATAACTGAATTTATTGAAAATACAGTCTGAGATCTTGGAAAACTAGTGAAGGGAAAATTTTGAAACTTTTTGTATGTGAAGAGGAAGGGTAGAGGCTTATTTTCCCAAAATTTCAAATTTTTCCAATAGGAAATAACAGCATGAGGAATCTTGAAAATAAACCTATAATAACTGAATTAATTGAAAATGCAGTCTCTCACATTTCAAAGTTTTTCTGGAAAAACTGAACAAGGGAAAATTTTGAAACTTTTTGCAAGTAGAAAGGAACGTTAGGAGCCCATTTTCCCAAAATTTCAATTTTTTCCAGTGAAAAATAACATGAGGAATCTTGGAAATCAACCTATAATAACTGAATTTATTGAAAATACAGTCTGAGACTTTTCAAAGTTTTCTTGGAAAACTAGTGAAGGGAAAATTTTGAAACTTTTTGTATGTGAAGAGGAAGGGTAGAGGCTTATTTTCCCAAAATTTCAAATTTTTCCATTAGGAAATAACAGCATGAGGAATCTTGAAAATAAACCTATAATAACTGAATTAATTGAAAATGCAGTCTCTCACATTTCAAAGTTTTTCTGGAAAAACTGAACAAGGGAAAATTTTGAAACTTTTTGCAAGTAGAAAGGAACGTTAGGAGCCCATTTTCCCAAAATTTCAATTTTTTCCAGTGAAAAATAACATGAGGAATCTTGGAAATCAACCTATAATAACTGAATTTATTGAAAATACAGTCTGAGACTTTTCAAAGTTTTCTTGGAAAACTAGTGAAGGGAAAATTTTGAAACTTTTTGTATGTGAAGAGGAAGGGTAGAGGCTTATTTTCCCAAAATTTCAAATTTTTCCATTAGGAAATAACAGCATGAGGAATCTTGAAAATAAACCTATAATAACTGAATTAATTGAAAATGCAGTCTCTCACATTTCAAAGTTTTTCTGGAAAACTGAACAAGGGAAAATTTTGAAACTTTTTGCATGTAGAAAGGAACGTTAGGAGCCCATTTTCCCAAAATTTCAATTTTTTCCAGTGAAAAATAACATGAGGAATCTTGGAAATCAACCTATAATAACTGAATTTATTGAAAATACAGTCTGAGACTTTTCAAAGTTTTCTTGGAAAACTAGTGAAGGGAAAATTTTGAAACTTTTTTTATGTGAAGAGGAAGGGTAGAGGCTTATTTTCCCAAAATTTCAAATTTTTCCATTAGGAAATAACAGCATGAGGAATCTTGAAAATAAACCTATAATAACTGAATTAATTGAAAATGCAGTCTCTCACATTTCAAAGTTTTTCTGGAAAACTGAACAAGGGAAAATTTTGAAACTTTTTGCATGTAGAAAGGAACGTTAGGAGCCCATTTTCCCAAAATTTCAATTTTTTCCAGTGAAAAATAACATGAGGAATCTTGGAAATCAACCTATAATAACTGAATTTATTGAAAATACAGTCTGAGACTTTTCAAAGTTTTCTTGGAAAACTAGTGAAGGGAAAATTTTGAAACTTTTTGTATGTGAAGAGGAAGGGTAGAGGCTTATTTTCCCAAAATTTCAAATTTTTCCAATAGGAAATAACAGCATGAGGAATCTTGAAAATAAACCTATAATAACTGAATTAATTGAAAATGCAGTCTCTCACATTTCAAAGTTTTTCTGGAAAAACTGAACAAGGGAAAATTTTGAAACTTTTTGCAAGTAGAAAGGAACGTTAGGAGCCCATTTTCCCAAAATTTCAATTTTTTCCAGTGAAAAATAACATGAGGAATCTTGGAAATCAACCTATAATAACTGAATTTATTGAAAATACAGTCTGAGACTTTTCAAAGTTTTCTTGGAAAACTAGTGAAGGGAAAATTTTGAAACTTTTTGTATGTGAAGAGGAAGGGTAGAGGCTTATTTTCCCAAAATTTCAAATTTTTCCATTAGGAAATAACAGCATGAGGAATCTTGAAAATAAACCTATAATAACTGAATTAATTGAAAATGCAGTCTCTCACATTTCAAAGTTTTTCTGGAAAAACTGAACAAGGGAAAATTTTGAAACTTTTTGCAAGTAGAAAGGAACGTTAGGAGCCCATTTTCCCAAAATTTCAATTTTTTCCAGTGAAAAATAACATGAGGAATCTTGGAAATCAACCTATAATAACTGAATTTATTGAAAATACAGTCTGAGACTTTTCAAAGTTTTCTTGGAAAACTAGTGAAGGGAAAATTTTGAAACTTTTTGTATGTGAAGAGGAAGGGTAGAGGCTTATTTTCCCAAAATTTCAAATTTTTCCATTAGGAAATAACAGCATGAGGAATCTTGAAAATAAACCTATAATAACTGAATTAATTGAAAATGCAGTCTCTCACATTTCAAAGTTTTTCTGGAAAAACTAAACAAGGGAAAATTTTGAAACTTTTTGCATGTAGAAAGGAACGTTAGGAGCCTATTTTCCCAAAATTTTAATTTTTTCCAGTGAAAAATAACATGAGGAATCTTGGAAATCAACCTATAATAACTGAATTAATTGAAAATGCAGTCTCTCACATTTCAAAGTTTTTCTGGAAAACTGAACAAGGGAAAATTTTGAAACTTTTTGCATGTAGAAAGGAACGTTAGGAGCCCATTTTCCCAAAATTTCAATTTTTTCCAGTGAAAAATAACATGAGGAATCTTGGAAATCAACCTATAATAACTGAATTTATTGAAAATACAGTCTGAGACTTTTCAAAGTTTTCTTGGAAAACTAGTGAAGGGAAAATTTTGAAACTTTTTGTATGTGAAGAGGAAGGGTAGAGGCTTATTTTCCCAAAATTTCAAATTTTTCCATTAGGAAATAACAGCATGAGGAATCTTGAAAATAAACCTATAATAACTGAATTAATTGAAAATGCAGTCTCTCACATTTCAAAGTTTTTCTGGAAAAACTGAACAAGGGAAAATTTTGAAACTTTTTGCAAGTAGAAAGGAACGTTAGGAGCCCATTTTCCCAATATTTCAATTTTTTCCAGTGAAAAATACATGAGGAATCTTGGAAATCAACCTATAATAACTGAATTTATTGAAAATACAGTCTGAGACTTTTCAAAGTTTTCTTGGAAAACTAGTGAAGGGAAAATTTTGAAACTTTTTGTATGTGAAGAGGAAGGGTAGAGGCTTATTTTCCCAAAATTTCAAATTTTTTCCATTAGGAAATAACAGCATGAGGAATCTTGAAAATAAACCTATAATAACTGAATTAATTGAAAATGCAGTCTCTCACATTTCAAAGTTTTTCTGGAAAAACTGAACAAGGGAAAATTTTGAAACTTTTTGCATGTAGAAAGGAACGTTAGGAGCCTATTTTCCCAAAATTTTAATTTTTTCCAGTGAAAAATAACATGAGGAATCTGGGAAATCAACCTATAATAACTGAATTTATTGAAAATACAGTCTGAGACTTTTCAAAGTTTTCTTGGAAAACTAGTGAAGGGAAAATTTTGAAACTTTTTGCATATAAAGAGGAAGGGGCGAAGCTCATTTTTCCAAAATTTCAAATTTTTTCGGTAAAAAATAACAACATGAAGAATCATCAAAATCAACTTTTTCTAGAAAACTAACCAAAGGAATGAATACTTAGAGAAGAAACCATAATTGGATCAGAAGGAAATCTGATCCTGTCCTTATAAAACATCAAGTTTCTGAGTTTAAACTTACATCTATAAAATCCCTATAAATAATTGGTGGATCTCTGGCTTTTTTTTTAGCCTCGTCCTCCCTTTTTTCCTCTTCTTCTAGAGCAAAAGCCTGTTCTGACGGTAAAGGTGCAGGTTCGTCACCGTTTAAAGCTTCAGTGTCAGCCATTGCAATTTCCTTCCAAAAAACAAACCAAAAAATAATAAAAACAATAACGTATTATTATAAATAATTTACTTCTAATTCAGCAGGTATAACACCACCAGCGTCTAAGATTTTCTTGCGTTTTTTCTCTTTTTTCCTTTCTTTTTTCGCTAATTTTTCCCTTAGGGTTTTCCTGCGTTGTTCCAAAACAAAACTATTGTATCTGTTGAACAAGAAAAGACATAAAAACAAAATAAATTTCAAATACTTACCAACAAAAGGTGATATATGAACAATATTAATTAAAATACTCGCAAAAAATTTTTGAAAAACTGTTTTATTTAATTTTAATTAAGCAAAAAATAAATAATTTATCCAAATCAATACTGTTACAGGTTTTTGAACACATTATTTTACAAACAAAACACACACATGGAAAAATTATTATTAGTTTTCTTTATGTTTTGTACTGTCATGCTCTGACCTGGCCTCTTCGATTTCCTTGGACAAATCCGGCGAATTTTCTCTGGCTATGGCCTGTTGTTGTTCTTCTTCAATAGGCCTGGCGCTTTTTTCCAGTTGTCCAACTAGGGCGGCGATGCTTTGTCCCAAGTTGGCGTTGAGGACTTCGTTGGGTAAATCGAGGATGTATTTCGGGATCGAAACGCCGCACAGGAACTGGGCGATTTCTTCCGAGAAGTTGTTGCAGTTGTGGGTGAAGAGCTGATAGGATTTGCCACTGGAATTTGGGAGAATTTTGTTGTTTTATTTATATTTTTGTAAGTCCAAGGGTTGGTATTTCAATTTCACCTTAAAGTACAAAATAACGTTAAGGCATCCTTTATACAATTTTATTCAAAGTTTCCTTAATTCAAGATGGATCTTTAGAATCACCTAAAGAACTGATTTCAAGTTTACCTTAACTTTCAGAATACCTCCTAAGCCAAATCTTGATTTTAAGGTAACATTGAAATACCAGCCTTAAGGTAGAAATATTTAATTGACCATTTTTATAGTCTTTTCATTTAGAGGCTCTATTTTGAACTCTGTGAAAATACTTTAGAGCAAAATGACTCTTTTTCCTTTAAAAAAAATTTGAGGGTTTTATTTGTTTCATAAAAACTTCAAAGCTGAAACCTTATACAGGGTGTGTGAGTAAAATAAAATTGAACCCTTTCATGGTTTGATTTTTTTTGAAATACTGCTAAAAATCCCATTCTTTCCTTATCCAATTCCACTGGAATCCCATATACTTGTAGGTACAGTATAATTCCAACGTGGTTTTCTTCTAGATTTGGTGAAGATGAAAATTCCATTTTTTTATATTTTCAGCTCTAGAGGACCAAAAATCCCTTTCTTTGAACTGCTAAAGCTCAATTGTGATTCTAGAATAGTCACAAATAAACTTTTTAGTACAATTTCAATTCCACTAATAGAATTTTCACACTTTTATGCTCTAAATTTCGGTTCTAGGACTCTCAGATTTTATGTTTTAGTTGAAATTTCTGATCTACAAGAGTCAATATTGTGAGATTTGTCAGCATTTAAAGTTAGATTTTGGATCTTCGAAGGTCACTGGTTTAATGAACCGCTCTAGCTCAATCTAAAAAATTAAAATCTTATTCCCGGCTCTTGTAGAAAAGTGAACTCTGATTTTTTGATTATTTTAGAGTGAAAGTTGGAGCATAAAAGAGGAGAGATGGGAGCTTATCAAATTGCAAATTGATCCCATCATGGGAAAATCTTGAATATTAACTTTGAGAAAATAAATTGAAAAAGTTGTATCTTTTCATATTTTGATAATTTTTTGGAAAACTAGGAAGGGGAAAAAACTTGAAATTTTTAGGGTGGAAAGAAGAAGGTTGATAACGATAAAAAGGAGAAATAAAGAGAAGAAAGTAAGGAAAGTATAGATATTTTCTGACATCAATATTAATATGATACTAATTTTAGAGCAGTTTGGAGCAAAGTAGAAGTCTACTCCGACTCCAGGATAATGAATTATTACACTACAATCATAAAATACGAGCAAATTGCACTAGAGCAAGTTTCAGATAATTTAATACATGATAAATATAACGACACCTTTGCACTTGTTCTAGAGCATGTCCGTATTACAAAATTAGTGACCTAAATGAACTTCAATTTTGTGTTCTAAAATTCGTCTTTGCATTGAATCAGACGGTTTCGGTTTAGTTTCTTTGCACTCACTCTGGAGTAATTTTCTACCTTTAAAGAAAGACGCAAATATGAATTTTCCAAATGATGATAATATTCACATTTTTTTCTATTCCAGGCTCTTGAATTTTTTTTATTATGACAAATTCAACAGTTGGGAATAAACAAAAATTGAAATAAAAGATTGAGAAAAAAGAAGAGATGTAAATAGAGAAAGTATCGATATTTTCTCACATTAAGCACTAATTCTAGAACAGTTTCGAGAATAGTAGAAGCCTTACTCTAACTCCAGAAGAGTGAACTATTACACTACAATCACAAAATATGAGCAAACTGCACTAGAGCAAGTTTCAGGTAATCAAATACGTGATAATAACGTATTCGACACCCTTGCACTTGTTCTAGAGCATGTTCGAATTACAAAATTAGTGCCCTCAATGAACTTCAAATTTGTGTTCCAAAATTCGTCTCTGCATTGAATCAGACGAAATGTTTAGTTTCTTTGCACTCACTCTGGAGTAATTTCCTACCTAGAGCAAGACGCAAATATGAAGGTTTTAAATAATGATATAATATTCACATTTTTTTCTATTCCAGGCTCTTGAATTTTTTTTATTATGACAAATTCAAGAGCCGGGAATAAACAAAAATTTAAATAAAAGATTGAGAAAAAAGAAGAGATGTAAGAAAAAGTATGGAAAATATTGATATTTTTCCATACGGGTTTTCATATTAATATCAATATGAACAAGAAGGCACTAATTTTAGAGCAGTTTGGAGCATAGTAGAAGTCTTACTCCGACTCCACAATAATGAATTATTACACTACAATCACAAAATACGAGCAAACTGCACTAGAGCAACTTTCAGGTAATTGAGTACGCGATAATTTGTATTCACCCTTGCACTTGTTCTAGAGCAAGTTCGTATTACAAAATTAGTGACCTCAATGAACTTCAAATTTGTGTTCCAAAATTCGTCTCTGCATTAAATCAGACGAAAGTGTTTATTAAGTTTCTTTGCACTCACTCTGGAGTAATTTCCTACCTTTAAAGCAAAATGCAAATATAAATGTTTCAAGTGATGATAACATTTTTCTATTTTAAGCTCTTGAATTTTCTTTATTTTCACAAATTCAAAAGCAGAGATGTAGGAAAAAGTATGGAAAGTATCCATATTTTGCCACATTCATATCAATATGAACTAGAAAACACTAATTCTAGAGCAGTTTGCAGGCTTGTAGCATAGTGGAAGCCTTACTTCGACTCCAGAATAGTGAATTATTACACTACAATCACAAAATATGAGCAAACTGCACTAGAGCAAGTTTCAGGTAATCGAATACGCGATAATAAAGTCTGTTTTTTCTTAAAAGATAATTCCCCAAGTCAAAAATTTAGTAACTATGTTGGCAACACAAGCCTTTTCTACATAAAAAATTTGAAAGCATTGACAATTTTACATTGTATTGCCAACATAATGTCATTTTGACTTTTATCTTTAAAAAAAAAACAGATTGTAACATATTCGGCACCTTTGCACTTGTTCTAGAGCGTGTTCGTATCACAAAATTAGTGACCTCAATATCTATATTCCAAAATTCGTCTCTGCATTGAATCAGACGTAGTGTTTAAGTTTCTTTGCACTCACTCTGGAGTAATTTCCTACCTAGAGCAAGACGCAAATATGAATGTTTTAAATAATGATAATATTCACATTTTTTCTATTCCAGGCTCTTCAATTTTCTTTATTTCAACAAATTCAAGAGCCGGGAATAAATAAAAGATTAAGAATAAAAAAAAGATGTAAGTAGAGAAATTATCGATATTTTCTCACATTAATAACAAGAAGGTACTAATTCTAGAACAATTTGGAGCATAGTAGAAGTCTTACTCTGACTCCAGAATCATGAATTATTAGACCTCACTTACAAAATGCGAGCAAATTGCACTAGAGCAAGTTTCAGGAAATCGAATACGCGATAAGAACGTATTAAGACACCCTTGCACTTGTTCTAGAGCATGTTTGACAAAATTAGTGACCCAATGAACTACAAATTTGTGTTCCAAAATTCGTCTCTGCATTGAATCAGTTTAAGTGTTTAGTTTCATTGCACTCATTCTAGAGTAATTTCCTACCTTTAAAGACAGACATAAATATGAATGTTTCAAATGATGATAATATTCACATTTTTTTTATTCCAGGCTCTTGAATATTCTTTATTTCGACAAATTCAAGAGACGGGAATAAACAAAAATTTAAATAAAAGATTGAGAAAAAAAAAGAGATATAAGAAAAAATATGGAAAGTGTTAAAATTTTCTTACATTAATATCAATATGAACAAGAACGCTAGAGCCGTTTGGAGCATAGTAGAAGTCTTACTCCGACTCCAGAATAATGAATTATTACACTACAATCATAAAATATGAGCAAACCGCACTAGAACAAGTTTCAGGTAATCGCGACACCCTTGCAGTTGTACTAGAGCATGTTCGTATTACAAAATTAGTGACCTCAATGAACTTCAAAATTGTGTTCCAAAATTCGTCTCTGTATTGAATCAGGCGTAGTGTTTAAGTTTTTTTGCACTCACTCTGGAGTAATTTCCTACCTAGAGCAAGACACAAATATGAATGTTTTAAATAATGATAATATTCACATTTTTTCTATTCCAGGCTCTTCAATTTTCTTTATTTCAACAAATTCAAGAGCCGGGAATAAATAAAAGATTGAGAATAAAAAAAAGATGTAAGTAGAGAAATTATCGATATTTTCTCACATTAATAACAAGAAGGTACTAATTCTAGAACAATTTGGAGCATAGTAGAAGTCTTACTCCGACTCTAGAATAATGAATTATTACAATACAATTATAAAATATGAGCAAACCGCACTAGAACAAGTTTCAGGTAATCGCGACACCCTTGCAGTTGTTCTAGAGCATGTTCGTATTACAAAATTAGTGACCTCAATGAACTTCAAAATTGTGTTCCAAAATTCGTCTCTGTATTGAATCAGACGTAGTGTTTAAGTTTCTTTGCACTCACTCTGGAGTAATTTCCTACCTAGAGCAAGACGCAAATATGAATGTTTTAAATAATGATAATATTCACATTTTTTCTATTCCAGGCTCTTCAATTTTCTTTATTTCAACAAATTCAAGAGCCAGGAATAAATAAAAATTTAAATAAAAGATTGAGAATAAAGAAAAGATGTAAGTAGAGAAATTATCGATATTTTCTCACATTAATAACAAGAAGGTACCTACTAATTCTAGACCAATTTGGAGCATAGTAGAAGTTTTACTCCGACTCCAGAATCATGAATTATTAGACTGCACTCACAAAATACGAGCAAACTGCACTAGAGCAAGTTTCAGGAATTCGAATACGTGATAATAACGTATTCGACACCCTTGCACTTGTTTTAGAGCATGTTCGTGTTACAAAATTAGTGACCTCAATGAACTTCAAATTTGTGTTCCAAAATTCGTCTCTGTATTGAATCAGACGTAGTGTTTAAGTTTCTTTGCACTCACTCTGGAGTAATTTTCTACCTT